TGGGGTAACTTGAGTGCATGGGCCAAGATCGGGCGGTGAAGGAGGCCAGTGGTCGGAGTCCAGTAGGTTGGTCTAGGTACCGCTGGGTCAGAGTGGAGGATCTGCTGCGACAATGGCAGGAGGAGAAATGGCACAGAACAGGAAGATTGTCATTTGGGAGACCAAGACACTTGTTGGGTCACGGAGCCAGCGGGGTTAGTTAGTTATTTAAGACGTTTAAATAACTTTTATTCACTAAACAACATTACCTATACTTGACCGTAAAAATAACAAAACATTCAGCAACTTTGTGTTTTGATGTTTGTTTTATTTGTGCGATATACAGTTTGGTAACGTCGAAGCTAACTGTTTTATCACTTTATTGCATGAGATGGCATAAACTTGCGAAAGCTTTGGCAATAAAACGCTACTATTGGGCCATTGTATGTTGAATAAGGTCGAACCTAAAGTATTCACAGATGCGAAGAAAATAAAAAGTCATTGGCATAGTTCTACCAAACGAGAGTCTATAACAAGGAACTTCCTTTGGAATATCAAGACGAATAAATTCCTCAAAGTTTTATAGTATGACACAATATTATTTTACATAGAAATCACAATTTTCTTTACTGAATTGATCATTTATTATCTTATCTCGATTAATCTTATTCAGTATATTAATTGTGAAAATCTCTGATGTGGCAAAAGCCATATCAAACATAAGTAATTATCTATTGTTAGGACATAAAATGGTATAAGTCTTCCATTCATTCATTACATCATTTGGTCAAATGATGCCAAACCAAAACAAGTATTGAAATTTTGTCTTTTATTAATTCTTAAACTTTATTTGTATGTATGTTGTATAGGTTAGTAGGCTCAGCGTGCGATTCTCATCCCTGTTATTGTAGGTTCTATGTGCTGTGCGAGATGTGTTGGCCAAGTGGCTTCAGCGTGCGACCCTCATCCCTGAGGTCGTAGGTTCGATCCCCGGCTGTGCACCAATGGATTTTCTTTTTATGTGCGCATTTAACATTCGCTCGAACGGTGAAGGAAAACATCGTGAGGAAACCGGCTTGCTTTAGACCCAAAAAGTCGACGGCGTGCGTCAGGCACAGAAGCCTGATCACCTACTTGCCTATTAGATTAACAAATGATCATGAAACAGATACAGAAATCTGAGGCCCAGACCTAAAAAGGTTGTAGCGCCATTGATTTATTTTTTATTTTTTATGTGCTGTGCGCCAATGAACTTCTATCTATGACGGTACGGTACGGTGAAGGAAAACATCGTGAGGAAACCGGCATGCCTTAGACCCAAGCGTGTGTCACAGAAAGCTGACCTACTTGCTTAATGATCACGAAGCAAATACTGTCTGATTAGAGAAATCTGAGGCCCAGACCTAAAAAAAGTTTTTGTCAAAATTGCTATGTTGTATAAATGTATCAATTGAATTCCAATTTGCAATGGAACCGTTTGGTATTTCATATATGTAGTATAAGTAACAAGTATAAAAAATGCTTTCATGTATTAATTGCTTGCGCAGTGTAATGCTTCATTTAATGGCAATCTTTCGCTCACTTAATCTGGGTTATAATGGCTTCAGTATTCACAATCGAACAAACATCGTATATGGAGTGCTAATTGGAACATTAAAATTAATTATTATGACCCATCAAGCGATTTTTCATCATCCAATTTGTTAATGTTATCTTGATAGTTATTTCTAGTGATACTAGTTGTAGTTTTTGTTACATAATTTTATTTTCAGTGCTTGTGCCTGGAAGAGATTGCTTGAAAGCGATTGCGCCCGTTTCCCTCCTAATTGTTTCATTAGTGAAGTGTGAAATAAAAAAATAGATAGTATTGTAAAAATAATTACGTAAAACAGTACCACTATTGTTTTTACAAATCATTTCCAACCGATCTACTACTTAACACTGGCTATAATCATATTGTATTACACTTTGACGTTTGGACTAATTTCTCTACCCTAAGATACTTAACATGCGAAAGCGGTAGCATTTACCCTACCCAACAAGAAACGGTCCTTATTTGAACAAGATTGTTGACTCGGTTGAACTAATACTCTAGTTGAGAACCCATGCGTAGGCATATTAAACAGAGAAAACAAACACAGAATTACTCATAATAACTTAGAAACTAATATCATTCAAATTCAAAATCATTAATTTAGGTAACACAATGTAGGTACACATACATATTAAATGCTTTCAATTTTACATTAACTGCAAGTTCTCAAATCAAGGGCGAGAAGAACTGGCAATAAACTCTCCGCCACTCTTTTTAATCATCAAGTGTTTTGTTTTACAAAATGTTTGTAAGGTGCTGCAACCATTACACCATGTTCCACATGACATCTTTATATTATAATGAATAGTTAATTAATCATAAAAAAAAAACAAAAATGTGTTCTCTATCAGCAGTAGACATGGTGAAATAGGAGCACGCGCTTACATTCTCGTGGGAAGAACACGCACATTGTACATTATACATCTGCGTATCAACCTGCTGATAGACTGTTATTTTAAATGATGCTATGTTGCATGTGTTTATTTGAATTTGTTAAAGAGTTTTGTGTTTTGTTATATATAATAACTGATAAAAATATCAGAAAGCGATATAGAATACATATGTTTACTATTGAACCAGATCCATTAATGTATCTGAAACTTAATTTTAAAATAACTTTGTTCATATAGGTAACCAAGTACACTTATGACCGTCAACAGAAAAGATTTCACATTGATTCTTAATTACATTTACTACCAGTTTGCGTAAAGGGCGTAGAGCGGGCAAGAAGAACTGGCAAGAAACTCTCCGCCACTCTTTTTAATTGCCAAGTTTTGAGTCATACACATTGTTTAAACTGTAGCAAATTAATCCCAAGGATCAGGATCATTTAAATAATCGTCCATCGTCATTAATGCAAAATATACGTTTAACGAAATGCTTTTGGTGGAGTACAAAATTAAATTATTAAATTTATTTTTATTTAACAAATATTATGCTCAAACCTTTCTTTTTAGGTCACTTGGATAAATATACTTTACATTCTAAGTACTTCAACGGGCAGTTAATTAATTTTACAAATATGGTAGAAATTCTCATTAAGCGAGACCCACGTAATATCATCTGCATATCCATGTCCAAAAATTTAATTTAATTATATTCCTGTCCTTTTTAAATGCTCTTGGTGTTGCGTGAAGGTTTTATATTCTTTATTTTGTTTTTTTTTTATTGGCAACCGATAACCCAATTTCGACAATTATAGAAAAGGAGTTTAGCTAATAGACTTGTATCCAGAACAATAATTAAAAAAAACTAAGCGATAGTGGAATGATTTAGTTGGTACTAATTTCAGTGCAGTTTGTTCTTATATCTTTAATCTATCAGTTGTAGAATTATTCAACGAGTTAATTGTCATTATGTTAATATTTATAATATTATTTTGAATTTAATATAATAAGACTTGATAACATCTATGCTCAGCCTTTTTTTGCACGTGTTTACCGGGTTGACGGGGTATATATTTATGTAGCAATAGCATAAAATCAGTTTTTAATTGCAAATATACTAAACAAGTTATCTCCAAATCGCTATTTCAAGGAGACAGGGATTATTCTATTAAGCTATTATAAATTCATTAAATTTACTAAATCAGATTTACTTTAATTGTAACGAATTGTCAGGTTGTTAACAGATAAATAAAAGAACTTTGGCAGCCGTCATCTAATCAAACTTCTGACCACGACTTCAAAACAATCAAGACGTTCAGAGATACAAATTGGATTAGAAGGATTATGATGGTAGTTCCATTTCGCTAATAGTTTCCGAATAGTATTAGTGATAATATCTTTATGCAATTTTATATATAACATGCCATCTTTCTTTAACGCGAAATTTACTACATCATTTACGTTCGAGCTGAACTGCTGTTGTGAACAGTAACAGATTGCGTTTATATTCGTTAAAGAAGTTTTATTTAAATGTGTTGTACACTATAATAATATGCGCAAGTATGCGTATATATATATATATATATATATGAGTATATTTTATATTAAAAATAAATCAGTGGCGCTACAACCTTTTTTAGGTCTGGGCCTCAGATTTCTCTATCTGTTTCATGACCATTTGTCAATCTAATAGGCAAGTAGGTGATCAGCTTCCTGTGCCTGACCAAAAGGGCTGGACCCCTCTCGTCGGCGTCTCGGAGCGCGCAGAGGACTCGTCCGCAGGTCTGCCTCGCTGGGCTTCCCTCGGGTAACCGAGGGTCTCACCCGGTGTGGTACGACCGCGCCCGCGCGCGCCCGTTGCCGCCACGGGGGGGGCGCCACCAGCCCCACCGACATGAGACAAAAGAGGCGCTGCGAGAGCGAAGACGCTCCGCAGCGCAACCGAGGCTCAGGGCCGCTCTAGGCCCGCCCCAACGACCGCCCCGCCGTTGAGCGGGGCGCGAACAACGCAACCCCCCGCAAGCCCAAGGGCGTAACGGGGTTCCCAGCGCCACCCTAGGGTGATTGCGCGGAAGACAGCAGAACCTATCCTGTGCCTGACACACGTCGGCTTTTCAGGTCTAAGACACGCTGGTTTCCTCACGATGTTTTCCTTCACGTTCGAGCGAATGTTAAAGCGAAGTCCATTGGTGCACAGCCGGGGCTCGAACCTACGACCTCAGGTATGAGAGTCGCACGCTGAAGTCACTAGGCCAACACTACTCTGAATAGTATATAATATAACCTATATTATATCCGTATAAAGTATAATCTCCGTATAAAGTAAAAGGAAAGTAACGGGTGCAAAATATATAAAATACTTAGTATATCATATTACACAAAGTAGGTCTCAAAGGGAATAAAAGTTGATATCCATATCCCGACCTTTAAACCCCGAAACAAAAACCCTTCAATTTCGAACCGTGATATACGATATCAAATGGTTTTATGACACCTTCCTTTTAGTCAAATAATACATCCAATATCCCCGAAGCGTAAATCTAATATCTATAAAAGAGAATTTTACATCTTACCTTTGAAAACGGCTCGTCCTGTCGAATATCTCTCAAGAAGTCGTATATTATGCAAAGAGGCACCACCATAATAGCCGGCTCCTTGCACAAAGTCGCAGCAGTCGCGAACAAAAGTGTCCCCACTAAAGTGCACCATTGTAAGAATTCACCTGTATCTTCACTTGCACACCCGTTACAATGACACTTATTGAGTTGCACGGGCCCCACGCTAACTTCACACACATTAAACACTTTCAATGGTCCAGATTTACCAGCCTTCAACAATTTCCTAACACTAATCAATAATTGTTGTACGAGTCCGTGACAACTTAGACGAAAGTTTTGGTCTTCAGCGTCCAGATGTCGCGTGAGAATTTGTTTGTAACTGTCCCTACATTGTCGACGATGGCTCCTATTTCTGATCCTCAAATGTTCCGTGTATAAGAGGAAGCTCAGTAGAAAAAAGTTGCATGCGGCTAGGTCGGCTCTACCCACAACTCCAGCGACGGCTTCAGTGTGGATTGGATGTGAGGCGAAGGTCAAACCGGTAACCACAGTCCCCACTTTCATGCAATATGTGGGTAACAGCCGCTTTGCTGTTATCACGACAAGTGCAGTGGCCGTCGAATGGAAGAACACATTGAGGAGATGGTAACTCCAGGGCTTGAATCCGCTGAATGCGTAATTGAGACGATACGTCGCGACGCACAGCGGCCTGTATGAGCCGTGGGACCCAGGATCAGTGAGCTGTGTTCCCCAAAAGTCATTTTCAAATAGCGCCTTAATCGGTGTATGTCCGATGACATCTGGGTTCGAGAGTATCGCCCGTCTGCAAATAAATAATAAATGTTACCTTTCATGTGTAATCGCTAGGTTATAATCGCTTAACGCAAAGTCTAGTACCTAGTAGTAGACGGATAACCTGTGTACGGTTTACAACCGTACAGGTAATGTAAACGACACCATGCAATACGATTTGCTAGTGTATTCATTTTCATTACATTTTATTATAATTACTTAAGTTAGTTCGCATTCAGACGTACCGTGCGCGACACTTATCCCAATCTCATCTCACCCCACTTATTTAGTCCATTGCAGTTTAAATAAACAATTATCCCTTTAAATATCTTTATAATTTATACTAACTCCGAACAACCTGCTTAAAAATATATTAAATTTTGAAGTTATACTTCTTTTGGCGCGTTAAATTTTTTCTATTGTTATTGTCGTTTTTACTAAAAACTTAGAATAAGGCGAAAGATTATATTTTTGAAAATATTTTTATCGCATAACGCCACTTACGGATAACTTCTAACGTGTGTACGTAAGTACAAACAATTGTTTTTTTATAACAGGGGCAAACGGGCAGTAGGCTCATCTGTTGTTAAATGGTACCGCCGCCCATAGAAACTCACATTGCCAGAGGGTTCGGCCTTGTCGGCGTTTTTACTTTTAGAAGGAATATATATAGCGCATTTTTCTGTCAATGTTGGCTTACAAGTTTAGTAATCTTTTGTTTTTCTACTTGTGGCCTTATTTAATCTTAGTAAAGTACTTAAAAAAGAGTTTTTAAACATACCATACATGTCAATGTCCCTAAGATGTCATTAGTTTGAACTTCAAAATTTATGGCTAGTTTTCGTGACTATTATATTAAAAGACACCGAAATCGGTAGATAATCGTGACAGTTGGCGTAAAATGCCATGGGAATTGCTCAAAACGACTTTTGTCACGTAGGTTTCATTACTAGATTAAATGCCGTGACGGTAATACTTTTATTAAATTAATGTTTAACTTACATCAATTACATTAAACGACTAATTATACCATTATGGATATGTAGTTATTGTTAGGTGTATAATTCGTCGCTAACATTTATATTGATGTTCAAGGTTTTTGTTTAATTAAAATTAAATATGATACGCACATTTGTGTCGTGTTAGCCTATCTATGATGTCGGATTCTACCTCGTCAAAAAAGTGCTTTAATTAAACAATACCCTGAGAACGTCCGTTCGAAGCTTGGTATAAAGGGGTTTATGTGCGTATATGTTCCTTATACTGTGACAGAAAGCATTATTATAAAACCTTCGACGGCCGAAAATGGCGATTAAATGAAACAGACGCTGAATGTCCTACTGTCAATATATTACTTTAATAAAACAGAATCAGAACGTGAACAGATTGCCACGTGGAAAAGATATAATATGCATATTTCAGGCAGTCTATGAAAGATCTAGGATTCATTCCACGTTTTTCACATGGAGTTTAAAATCAGGACAGGATGTGCTCTAGTGTAAGACAGCTCAAAACAGCAACCGTTTCCTGTTTTTATGTAATACTAGTGGACCCCACAGACGTTGTCCTGCATGATATTTAAAGCGATTAGGATATTAAGCAAAGTATGAAAGTACCGACTGCAGTGCCATCTGCCGGGCTGATTTGTGAATCTAAACCATTCCCAGATCCCCTTGAACACACAAAAAATTTCATCAAAATCGGTCCAGTCGTTTGAGAGAAGTTCAGTGACATACACACTCACAGAAGAATTACATATATAAAGACTAGCTGCCCCCGCGAGTTTGTTTCTCCTTAATGTAATTTTACTTTGCCTACTATGTACTAAAAAGACATACCAACATGGAACATTTTGTTATGCTACCCCAGACTGGTCGGTTTTCCGGAATAAAGACTTTTTAGGTTGTTCTGTGAATTTTTCTCTATATAAACCAAATAAAAAATAGGGGTTCATCGTAGAGAGTAGATAAAAATTAAGGGTTGTATGTATTTTTGTATGTTGTATCCTAATAAAATAAAACATATTTTTTTGGGTAGGATACACCTTATCACTTAGGGGTTTGAAAGATAGATAGTAGCCGATTCTCAGACTTACTTAATGTGCATATAAAAAATCATAAGAATCGATCGAGCCGTTTAGGAGGAGTATGGGAACGAACATTGTGACACGAGAATTTTATATATATAGAGATTTTATGTAAATCGTTATTTATACTTAATGAACAATACACAATATTATCTCTATATGCTTTTGGAAATACGAAAAGAACTTGAATCTAACGGTAGTAATTAATTTCACAGACACACAAGATCCCTTGTAAGATCACCTTGCCTCATACCCCGGTGCCCCACGGGATTAAGTTTGACGAGTCGTATTTTTACCTAGAGCAAAAATATATTCGGGTGAGCTTATTTTATTAAAATGTTTTTGTATTAAAATAGGAAAAACAAATTAACAAGGAACTTAAATACAGTGGATTCTATAAAGCGATCTCCCCAAGGTGATTGGAGTTAGAACAAATAAGAATATTAAAATTCAACTGTCTCTACATTACTTAATTTAAACATGTTTATATAAAACTGACACTAATATAAATCACAATAGAATTGTAGGTTTGTGATAGGGATACCGAATAGATAACTAAACCTTACAGTTTCCATATCCTATAGCTTTGATTTCCGGTTCTTGACGGTTATTGGATTCTGTATTATGTGGTCACAATGTCTTGAAAGCGAACTTTAATTATTGTCCAACTTAATAGACGAGTTATATTTTTAAAACTTTTACACTGCTTTAGAATGGGGACCTAAATTTTTAAATGTTCTAATGTTTTTTTTTAAATAATATTATTATGAATAATTTAAAATAAATTTTCTAATTACTGCTACAATAGAGAACCATGTTATTAAATAATTGATAATACGTTAAAAATCGCACCAATAATACCCTAATTTTTTAGGCTATGCAAACAGATAAACATCTGTTTTAAGTTGGTTAAGGTACTTTATCTCGCGTAATTTTAATGTATTAAAAATTGTTTACCTTAGTTCCTGCTGATTACCCTGCGTCTATTTCATTGATGATATGTGTTTTTCTTAATCAAGAAGACATTTAAGAATAACATAATGGAGTATGAAACGATTTCGGAGCGTGACTACTACAATTATGGAAGTTTCACGTAGCTGAAGGAAGCCTATATCCAAGATCCAGCTCTACACTAAAGACCTAAGCTAACACTAAACTTTATATAATACGTACATTCTAAATTCAATTATATATATATACTAGTGGACCCCACAGACGTTGTCCTGCATGATATTTAAAGCGATTAGGATATTAAGCAAAGTATGAAAGTACCGACTGCAGTGCCATCTGCCGGGCTGATTTGTGAATCCAAACCATTCCCAGATCCCCTTGAACACACAAAAATTTCGTCAAAATCGGTCCAGTCGTTTGAGAGAAGTTCAGTGACATACACACTCACAGAAGAATTATATATATAAAGATAATTTTTTTTAATAGTATTGTAAATATTTTATTCGTACGGTTGGAAATAAATAAAGGCTTAGTAATAATAATAAAACCGAGGAGTCATACCCAGCTTAAAGAATTTTTTTCGGTGTTTGGAGAACCAAGCAGAGGTAGCCAAAAATCAAACGTCTTAATTAGAGAGAACTTGAGTTACTATCTGAGCAGTGATGGCCTAGTAGAAGTGTGCTTCTCTTGTCACTCGTTTGAACCCCGCCAATGGACTTAGTGTGTGCTAACACTCGCACAGGGAAGGAAAACATCATGCCTTTGAGCCAAAATTTCGACCTCGTGTGGCAGGCACAGAAGTTTGATCACCTACTTGACTATTAAGAAAAAAATCACAATGCAGATATCTCAGGTCGTAGATTTAAACCTACGAAAATCTAGAGTTTTATTAATTATATAAGTATTTATTTTTAAAAATACTTTGCGTTCCATATTTGAAACCATTACAGAACATTAAACTTTATGAGAATAAAAAGAGTTCATTTTTAAAAAAAGGATTGTTAATTTCTTTCCATATTTAAATAAACTTTGCAAACATTATCAATTCAACATTAGGATAATCGAATATGTGGAAATGATGTAAGATAAAATCCTATTATAAATGACGTTCAAACAGACCCCTTTTATCCGAGACTGTTAAAACTTTCGTTAAATTAAGCCTTGAATATTAATAAGTGTAACCAACAGTGAAAATTTTAGATAACATTTCCTTACTTTCGACTATTAGTAACTAATATTTTATTATATAGGTATACTAGCAACTCAGTGAGCAATGTTGGCCTAGTGGCTTCAGCGTGCGACTCTCATCACTGAGGTTGTAGGTTCGATCGCCCCAACTGTGCACCAATGGACTTTCTTTCTATGTGCGCATTTAACATTCGCTCGAACGGTGTAGGAAACATCGTGAGGAAACCGACATGTCTAAGACACAAAAAGTAGACGGCGTGTGTCAGGCACAAGATTCTGATCACCTTCTTACCTTTTAGATAAAAAAATGGATCATGAAATAGATTCAGAAATCTGAGGCCCAGACCTAAAAAGGTTGTAGCGCTATTTATTTTTTTTGCTAGCAACTCAGAAACTTAGATAAAATAGAGATTTATATCACGTAGTAGATTACCCGTATACCAAGTTGTCAATAATCGATTCTAGCAGCGTAGTTAATGTTTTATGCAAATAAACCCACCAAAATTATTTTCTTGTAAAATGTTGCCACGAGACAAAAAGTAATTAGGTAGATCTCACTTCAACATCCGGAGACTACTCTACTATTCACATGACGCCCCAAAAAAAAGTTACGTAGGCTTCGAGAAAAAAGGTAGATGACCTTGCACTTTACTAGGTTCGGCATAGTTTTAGCTTCTATTTACAGAATAGAAATAGAATAGAACAGTTATTAACAGAATCCTTACAGAACTCTTATGATATTTTTATTACCACCCCGTACGTGCAGAAAGCATATTTATTATTCAACAATCGGAAAATTTACCTAT